GCTTCGGCAGGGCCCCAGCGCCAGGCTCCGCTGTGGCTGGAAAAACGGGCCGGGGGAGTGAGGGAGGGGAGGATGGAGAGGGAAAAATTAAGCACCACAATCCCTCCCCCCCCTGCAGAAACGGGGAGGGGAGGAAGGGATGCTTATTTTCACGATCTCTCCTATTGCTTCTGCCCCCGCTCCCGCGTTTTCCGCCGAGTAGGCCGGGAGCGAGCAGGGAGGGTTTGCCCACCGGGATGGAGCCGATGGCTCCCCACAGCCCTAACACACCTGCATTCCCAAAACCCGTTTCCTCTGGGCGCTGCTCAGCAAAGCCTGCAGGATGCTTCTTGCTATGAATCAGAAGTAGACAAAATGCCAGAAGCATGTGTTTGCCAGCCCGAATTTGTCTGGCCACTCTCCTTTCCGACAAGTTAGGAGGCTAGAAGGCTTGCTTGGGGCATGGGCTGATTCCTCACTGCCCCTTGCAGCAAATTAACACATCCGCCGTGTTAACAGGGCTATGTCCCGTGTCCATTTCTATGCTCTTCCCCCCCAAAAAGTAGTGACCCAGAGCCTCACCTAACGCTGCCGACACTGACTCTGGTGATTTGTTCTGCTGCTGGGTTTCCTCGGAGCGGAGTGGGTCTGCTCCTGGCTTTTATTGCTGCTTTCAGTGTTGGCAATTACCAAAGCTCAAAGAGATGAGGTTTTACTGCTTTTCTATTGCACAGAGAGGCACAGCAGCCTTCTGAGATCCCAATTAAAAGATCATTAGCCTTGTCAGTAGCCATGCTAATGAATATATTGCAGGATCATCCGAAGCGTTTGCAGGGAAATGATGACCAAGGAGGCATTCCCAATCCCACAACCTTTACTCACGCAGTCAATCCCATCGATAAGATTACCCGAAATACCCTGCTGTCTGAACCCACGGAACTGTTTGAATGACTTTCATGTTGTTTCTTTGATTGTAGAAAGACTGTTCCCTATGGTCTCGGAGGCCCTTCTCGATCCAGAAGATCGCTGAAGCACACGGTGCTGGAGATGCTCGCTGAACCTAGCAGCAGATGCCGATGTGCCAACCAGAAGGACAAGAAATGTCTGAACTTCTGCCAGACAGGAAAAGATCTCTGGTGCGTCTGTTGTTGCTACTCTTTAAAAGGCAGTGCATGTAAAAGGGATGGATTGTGGTAGACTTGCTCATTTTGGCACTTGCTGAGCAAATAATCTCCCCAGAGCCTTGCCTCCTACCTGAGCGCTCATGCTGCTATGACACATACTATGGTTTGGCCCAGAAAGATGGCTTATTACATGCCTTGAGAAGTGGTTGATGAGATGCCTCAGCTTGTGGACTGCAGACTTGTATTTTTTTTTTTTTTTAACAGCCGCGCGTTTTCCCTTTTAACAGGGCTCAGTCCACAGTGGAGAAAACCTCGCGTCACAGCAACAGAGCTGGCAATTGCGCTGGACCCAAATGCGTGAACCGACAGCTTGCTGACAGCAAGAAGATGAAGCGGTGAGTTTCTCCTCATCCTGTTGTAGTTCCCCGGAGTAGCAATAGAGAGCACAGTTCACCTGCCTTCTGGTCAGCGTGGGCTTAGCTGGTGATTTCAGCTTGAGCTTTACAGAGGAATCGGTGCGGATATCTCAAGGGCTTTTCTTCATGCAGTGGGCTTTCAGCTTGTGAAAGCATGGGTGCTGAGCTCTGCCCAGCATCCTCCATTGCTTAGAGGAAGCAGGCTTAGTTGTAGGCCTAAAGATACGCCAGACTTCAGAAGATCATGAAATGAAAGAATACTGACAGAAGTAGAGCCTGTTATTTTAGTATGTTCATCCACTATGTTCACTACTTAAAAATGTTATGTCTCAACTATTCTAAAATGAAATTGAATCAGAATGCCTTTTCTTAGATACTTTACTGCATGTTACTGGAGAGAAAAAAAGATGATTATTGATCTATTCAGATTTTTAATATATTTTTTCTTCTGGCTGGTGTGGCTGGCCTTTGAGATTGCAGGAGTCTGGTTTCTACCTGCCTTATCTACCTTTACATTGCCTAATAAACCTGTGTAACATGAGTACAGGATGTGTTAGTGATGGAGATGACTGCAAAAAGATTGAGGAAAGGGAAAATGAAAGCTAAATTAATATTTGAGCCCAATTTAATACCTGAGGTTATGGGTGAATTTCAGGACTGCCCTTTGAGGTCCGTGCGTAATCAGTTGGGCACCAGTAGGCAGCAATATCACTCCACAGCGCAGTGCAGAGACGCATGCATTGGATTCGGAGCTGCTGTGAACCCCGCAGAGGGGAAGTCAGCTTTGAAAGCTGGGTGTTAGTACAGCTGTATCAGCTCCGACGTTCGCTGTTCGGCCATATGCCCGTGTACAAGTATGGCATGCAGAAGTCTGCCTATACGAAAGAAGACTCTTTAGTGCTACTTTCAAGAACAGAACAGCTTTTTTACAGGAACAGACAGCCTGATGATGAGACTTAGGCCCTGGAAGTCTTAAATCATTTCTGAAAATGGGGCTTGCTTACTTACTTGAAAAATGCACCCATTCATTGGAACCAGGATCATGTTTGCCTAAAGAAACAAAACAGCCGAAAAGAATGCCACTGAAGACCCCTTGACTGGATACGTGCTATGTAAGGAAGTCTAGGGCATCTATATTTGAATGAATATTTTAACTTGTTTTAATGTTTGCATTTAAATTCTGAATCCAGTATTCCAAGTATCTTAAGTGTAATACTAGCAGAGGCATAACAATGTATAGCAATATTGACTGAGGATCCCATGGCAGAAATCTAGACTGAACCTTCTTTAGTAAAAACTTGAATGTCTGCACACTGGAGATGCATCTTCACTATTGTAACAACAAATGTATACTTCATATTTTTGTAGGCTGGAAGCCATTGGTAACAGTATCAAAGCTTCCTTCAGTATTGCAAAGCTGAAGGCTGAGCTCCAGAAAGGGCGGAAGCTGAAGCACAACAGGGCGAACAAAAGGCAAAGCATCTGGGGAAGCCTGAAAGCATCCTAGTGAGAAGGTCACCCTAACCTCTCTCCGTCACACTTGCTGACAAAACATTACCAAAACTCTCTCTTGACTTCTAACATTCCACGATGGCAAGGGGCCTCTCTGTCCAAGTGTCTGCGCAGCAGAGCAAAACACTGAGGAAGTCCCATATTTGGAGGTATAAAAGCAAAGGATTTCATCATTTTGGAATTCGGATGAATGGGTAGAGGGGGTGAAGGGGAATCCGCAGTAACATACATGAAAAGCTGTCTTTCTGAAGAAACATTTGAGTATTGCTTCCAGAATGTTACCCATCAGTTGAGCAACTTTCAGGGTCTACATCAAAAGCATCCCGCAAGGAAGACCTCACAGATGTGCTTAGAAAGGACAGAAAGCAAGATCTGAGTGGACAAACTCCAAAGTGAAAAACTCTACCTTTTGATTGAAATGCAAAAATGAAAGCCACAGTGCTACTTTAATCAGGACTTACTGCATATGTACACATCTACCTCGCGTACTGTTTGTTGCACTCCTGCTAGACTATTTTTACACCTTGTTATTGCCTTTACTAATCAGCTGCAACCCTTTGCCTTTTTTCAGAAGTCTAGTTTACTTGTACAGCCAGAGTTATCCGAATGTGGGTCAGACACTGTGGTTGTTTGTGTAGTCGAAGTCCTTTGGTTTTGGATACCAAAGGACTCTTCAACATAAAATAAAAGTTAGAGGACGCTACTAGGTTTCCCATAACAAGGATATTTGGCTAACTGAAGTTCTAATAATAGAGGTTGTTGTGTCTTACATGCCACCAAAAATGCACTAAAGTGGGGATGTACCAGAGGCTGTTGTGAGATTTTTTTCAGTGCCTTGTTTGGTGGAAATGTGTCAAGACAAAGGGTTGTTTTGAATTATGTCAAAAGGCTAATATTGGGTGAATGTTTATAGCATGTGAATTTGTTCACATTGTTGAATTTGCTTACAGGTTCAATCTTATGTGCTTATTTTTTGTGTTTTGTATTTATATTCACACAAGTTCTTCATTATATTTACCATGTTGAATACCCATTGAAGTAGGCCATATTGGTCTATGCTAGTTTTATGTATTTCTGTATGAAATTGGAAAATGCTTTATGCCTATCAAGGTAAATATCTTCAGAAATAAATATTTTTAATTATTGTATTGGCTGGTTTTGCATAAGCCCCTTTTTTCCATAGGCTGTGGCTCCATGATCATGGAGGTGCATTGCCCCATGTACAAAGCTGACCTGGGTGAAGTGTGCATACATGACTGACTTTCTGTCAGATTAGCCAGATCACAACACAGAAAGGTTGTGCCAGATATGAGACAACAGATAATACTTGTTCTAACTTCAAGCTTACTCACCAAAACTTTATGGTGAAATGTGAATTGGCCAAATAAATTTATCCTGGAGCAGCACTCTCACATGGCTAATGTCTTTTGTGCAAATTCTAGTGTTGGATTTACTGTACAATTAAAATACGTCCAATGAGGTGCTGGATATAGATGAACTAGAGAAAAAAATGCACACACTGGATGCTTTGAGGGTCGGACTAGATGAGCTTTAAAGGTCACTTCCAACCCAAACTATTATATGATTCTTTGTAGGCTCTATTGGACTAGGCAGTATTATGTTACTTGTTACCCTGCTACCCTAAAAGTCTCAGCCCAGCCCATGCATGTTAAAGATGGAGGCCTCGATGGACCCTGGCCCAAGCCCAGGAAAGAGATACAGCAATAGTCAAACTTTGCTCGTTTCCAAATGTTGGCTTAAAGTGGTTATAGCTGGAAAGATGCTTAAAGCAAATAAATTGATTTAATTATCTCTGATCCTACAGGGAAAAAAAGAACAAGAGTTAATCCATGGATAAAACTGAGTGTTTTGGCTGTTTTTAGAAACAGACTTTTAAAAGCAAGTGCAATGCAAGGTGTGTGACGCTTACAAACACTGACAGCAGTGACTGTAAAATATTTCTGGAATTGTTCTGGGTTTCTTGTCAATATTCACTTGTTTGCAGCATTTTCCACATCCAAACGCCATAAGGCTAAATAAAGCCCATATCATGTTTACTTCACGCTGTTCTGCTGCATTTTGGGGCAGCAATTCGGTGGAGAGGTGGTAGTGCTGGCAGCGGGGATCTGACAGCAGAGCTTGGCCCCAGCAGTGGGATGGAGCAGCCAGGTCAAAAAAAACTGCAGGGCAGGATGCGGCCCCCGGAGCCACCCTCGGGGCTCTGCGTTCAGGACACGCCTGGGTCGGTGGCCTCCATCAGGTGTGAGGACATCTCACTAACGGTCACTGTTTTGCCGTCTCTTCTCCCATCAGTGGTTGCCTTCGGCAGGGAAAATAAGCAAGGGAGTGGTCGAGGCGCTGCCTCGTGCCCAGCCGACATGGCAGGGGGGCGGGGGGGGCGGGGGTTTCCC